TTTTCCTCCTCCTCCTCCTAGTACTACTACTACAACTACTAGGCCTATTACTACTACTACTACTACTACTGTTAATCCTACTACTATTACTGCTACTGCTACTAATAACACGACTTCTACTACTGCAACTACAACTATAGCTCCTAAATTTTCAACTTCTAACACATCTACCACGACTATTACAACTATAACTTCTACTGCATCTACAACAACTACTACAAATCCTACTCCTACTACTCTGCAGCTTCTGTTAATACTAATGGTATTTATCACTGCATTTTAAGCCAAAGAGACCACTGTTTCCGTAACTATTTCCAACAAAATTTCTGTCCCATCATCATCGTTCAATATCGTTCAAAACAGACAAGTATTCACTAACTTACAGCTCAGTTTGGATGTCTGTTGCTGTCATTTCTCGTTTGCAAATATTTTGAAGAAATATGACACAAAAATCGAAGAATTTTAGAACATCGAAGAAAATGGCGAGATGGATTTTGAGATGATGGAGGGGCGGGGGAAGAAGGAAGAGGAGGGGAGAGGGAGAAAGAGGGAGAGAGGGAGAGAGAGAGAAGAGGGAGAGAGGGAGAGGGAGAGAGGTGGGGGTGAGGGAGACAGAGGGAGAGGGAGAGAGACGAAGAGTTCGGGAGTAGGAGGAGGAGAGATGGGGAGGGAGGGAGAGGGGTGCGATGCATGCTAGCATAATGGTGCGAGGGATGGGGAGGGATAAAGATTGAAGGAGAGAGATGCGAAGAGTTATTTTTCTAAAGAAAGAGAGAAAAAAAAAAGAATGAGAGAGAGAGCGAGAGAGAGAGAGAGAGAGAGAGAGAGGAGGGAAGTAGAGAGGGAATAAATGAGAGAGGAATAAAAATCGAAAAAAGAGAGGAGGCGAGAGAGATAAAGAGAACAAAAGTGAGAGAGACAGAGAGAATAAAAGAGAGAAAAATAATAAAAAGAAAGAGAAAGAAAGAAAAGCAAGAAAGACAGAGGAAAAGGGGGGGATAGCCTCCTGCCGAATCAACGGGGACGAGAGAACATCATCTTTTCCCCTCACCCTCTCCCCTCTCCCCTCTCCCCTCACCCCTCTCCTCTCACCACTCCCCTCCTCTCCCCTCCCTTTACGCCCCCCCAAGGGACTGAGGCTGAGGATAATTTGGACACAAGTGTAGTGCCGCCGGGTGGGAAGGGGATGGGAAGGAGGGGAAGGGGAAGAGAGTAAACACAGAGAGAAATGAGTGCGAGATGAAAAGGGGAAAGAAAGGGAGAAGAGCATTTCAGAAAATGAAGTAACGAAGAGGAAGTAGAGAAAGAAGATAAAGATAAAGAGAGAGAGAGGGAGAGAGAGAGAGAGGGGGGGGGGGGGGAGAGAGAGAGAGGGAGGAGAGAGAGAGAGAGAGAGAGAGAGAGAGAGAGAGAGAGAGAGAGAGAGAGAGAGAGAAATTGAGAGAGAGAGAGAGTGAGAAATTGAGAGAGAGAGAGAGAGAGAGAGAGAGAAATTGAGAGAGAGAGAGAGTGAGAAATTGAGAGAGAGAGAGAGAGATGGCTTTGTTTTTACATGTAGATGAAATGTAAATAACACTGGAAGGTCTCTTTTCCGTACTACCATACCCCTCATCATCATCATCATCACCATCATCACCATTATCCTCATAACTACCATCACCACCATCATGACTACCCTCACCATTATCATCATCATCACCATCACTATCACTACCATCACTTTTATCATCACCATCACCACCACTATCACTATCATCACTTTTATCATCACCATTATCCCTACCACCCCTATCATCACTCTCACAAGGACGCAACGAAGAAGGAATCAAAGGAAGAAGAAGAGGAAGAAGAAGAAGAAAAACAATAATCAACGCAAAGCGAAAAGAGGAGGAAAAGCACACAGAGAAAGGAAGGGAAAGTCGCGGTTATACTGACTATTGACTTTGAGAAATTGAATGAAAATGAACGAAAATGAAAAAGGAAATGGAGGAGGAAGAGAGAGAGAGAGAGAGAGAGAGAGAGAGAGAGAGAGAGAGAGAGAGAGAGAGAGAGAGAGAGAGAGAGGGAAATGGAGTGAAAGGGAGAGGGTGAGGGAGGAGGGAGATAGAGGGAGAGAGAGATGGAGTGAAAGGGAGAGGGTGAGGGAGAAGAGAAATAGAGGAAGAGGGAGATACAGTGAAATAGGAGAGGATGAGGGAGAGGGGAGAAAGAGGGAGAGAGGGGGATAGGGAGAGGGAAATAAAAAGGGAGAATGAGAGGGAGAAGAAAATGAGGGAGAGGACGAGGGAACGAGTGAAAGAAGGTGAAAGGGTGAATGGATATTTCAAAATGAAGATTAGGATATGAAAAAAAGAGAGAGACAAAGAGATAGATAGAAAGAAAGAAAGAGAGAGAGACAGAGAGAAAGAGAGAGAGAGAGAGAGAGAGAAAGAAAGAAAGAGAGAAAGAGAGAGAGAGAGAGAGAGAGAGAGAGAGAGAAGAGGATGAGAAGATACAGGTAAAGGAAGGGGGGAAGGGGGAAGGGAGGGGGGGGGTAGAAGAAAGCTCCCCCTTGTTCTTGAGGCCGATAAAAGGTAGGACCAGACCCTGTGTGGCGCTCCGGAGGTAAGCGGATGAACGCACCCAAGAGAATGGTCGCGTTCAAGATGACAGAAGCCACGACGAACGCAGCGCAAAAGGAGGACGATTTTATTGCCTCCTTTTTCTCTCTCTCTCTTTGTCTCTCATTTTTCTTTCTTTTTGTTCTTCTTTTTCTTTTTCTTATTCTATTTATTTATCTGTTTGTTTGCTTATTTGTTGTATTTTCCTTTCGTTGTATTTTTTTTTCTTTTTTTTTTTGTTAGTTTCATTTTTCGGTGGCGTTCGTTATTTTCCCCGTTTTTCTTATTCTTCTATTTCATGGGATCTCTCTCTCTCTCTCTCTCTCTCTCTCTCTCTCTTTCTCTCTTTCTTTCTCTCTCTTAATTCATTAACATCATAGAATAATAAATACAAATCCTTTATAATCTAGAGGAATATAACCTAATTGCAGATATACTAAACAAAAAAAAGAAACAAAAAAACTATCCATAAAAAGGGAAGAAATGCTAGATAAACAAATCAACATCAAGCTTAAAAAAAAAATTAAACGCAAATTCAAATGTAAAAAACTAAAATTCAAAAAAAGGGAAAAAGAAAGAAGAAAGAGAGAGAGAGAGAGAGAAAGAAGAGAGAGAGAGAGAGAGAGAGAGAGAGAGAGAGAGAGAGAGAGAGAGAGAGAGAGAGAGAGAGAAATAGAGAGACAGAGAGAAAGAGAGAGAGAGAGAGAGAAAGAGGGAGAGAGAGAGAGAAAGAGAGAGATTTCATTCTCCCTTTTAACCCCCGTATGATGACCTGAAGCCCCAGCCTGCCACAGTACCTACTTGCCTGCTTGATATTAATTCAACAACAAGCAACTGCCAAAAGTTCAAGTATCCTTTTGCAGTTTGTATCAAATTTATTTGTTGTATGTGACTTTTTTCTCTTTTTTTTGAGGGGAAAGGGTGGGGGTGGGGGTGGGGGGGTGTCGATGTCCTATCATATTTTGCGATGAAATTGATTTCGTTTTGGCAGCGGATTTGGCGGTGAGTGGTTCGGGTCAATAGGAAGATTCATTTATATATGTATATATATATATATATACATATATATATATATATATATATATATATATATATATATATATATATATATATAATATACCTATTCATATATATATATATATATATATATATATATATATATATATATATATACATATATATATATATATATAATATACATATAGATATATATGCATGTATGTGCATATATGTATATAAATATATATATACATATATGTGTGTATATGTATATATATATATATATATATATATATATATATATATATATATATATATATATATATATATATACATATATATATATATATATATATATATATATATATATATATATATATATATATATATATATATACATATATAAATATATATATATATATATGTATATATATATATATATATATATATATATATATATATATATATATATATATATATATATATATATATATATATATGGAGGGAGGGTGTTGGTGTGTGTGTGTGTTTTTGTGTGTGTATGGGTCTGTGTGTGTGTGTGTGTTTGTGGGTGCGGGTGCGTATTTCCTATTTGTGTGTACATTAATCAGATAAAAACAAATATATTTAGAATACATATACACATATACGTCATCTATGTATCTTCAGCTTTGCAAATCAGCAAATCTGCCTCCCCTACATCATAGACTGATTCCCTATGTATGAGCGTGAGTCAAAGTGGCATTTGAAATATCCCCGTCTCGCCTCTGTAATAACATTAATTTCGCTTTGGTTTTTCCTTTTTTTTCGTTTTTTTTATACTTTTTTTTCTTGTATCGGGGGTTATCATTATGGTTTTCTGTTTATCGGTCAACGCTTTGGCATTAAAACCGATTCTAACGTATCATTTCTCCTCTTCCCCCTCTCCCCTACCCCCCCTCCTCCTCCTCCTACCCCCACTACATACACATTACGCTATAACATTTGCTATTGATTCACACCCGTTGTTCGCTACCTAATTAGCTTTACAAATTCATGTAAATCCGTTGTAATCTCACTTATTAAACAACAGCTATCGACGGTCACCCCCCAGACGAGGCTATCATTGTCGCTAAGCCACGCCCACTACCCCCTGCCCCCCCTTACCAAAACCCACTCTTAACACCCCCTCCCACTTCCCTTCTCCCCCAACCCCCCCTCCACCCACCCCCTGAACTCTCCTACGGTGTTATAATTGGTTCCAATTTTCTCACCTGTCTTTCCTGTATGTCACCCCTAACCACACGCTTTTGTTCTCATTATTTTTTGTTGTCATTTTGGGCATTTTTTTTTTTCTTTTCTTTTTTGTCCTTTTTATGGATTTATGGCGTCGTGTCTGTCTCCCCGTGGCGGAAGTCGTGTGTGTGTTTGTCGTTCCATCTGGTTTTCTCTCTCTCGCCGCACACGCATGCAGACACGCAATCCCTTCAGCCATACACGCTCGCGTACTAATATAAACATACGTGGATACGTACATAAATAAATACATACATGAATACGTATATAAATACATGCATAGAAACACACACGTGCATATATGATACATGCACACACACACACACAAATACACACACACACACACACACACACACACACACACACACACACACACACACACACACAC